CACACACACACACACACACACACACACACACACACTCATCATGACAGAATTTTATGGGACTCTAGATAACTAAAAAGAAGAGAGTGAACCACAGTGCCTCCTGATGCAGTGGGGACGCTGACCATGTGAGCAGTGACATTGAGAAATATACAGTCTCTCTTCCTAACTGGCATTGTATCTATTTCCTCAGAGAGATAGGACCACAAATCAGCAATGACATAAAATTCAGTGATACTTGACAGTGAAAGAGCCTAAGTGATAGCTGGGAACTTTTCACTGATGACATATATTTGAGAATTCATTGCTGGATCTTCCATAGCCAAAGGCTTCAGGGTGTAGGGCCCAAGCTATAATCCAATTCAGTGGGACACTTGGTATTAGTCTTCCAACTGCATTGAGCCACTAGTATTTAGTTATAATACGGTTTTAAATAGACCTAGCCCATATGCCAGTATCATTAAGCTCTTTTGACAAATTTGTCATAGGGAAATTAAGTAATTTATTCAAGGCTGCATATCAAGTTAGTAGTAGAGCTAGAAGCCAGACCCAAGCTTAGAAAAACCTTGCATATTCAGCTGTCTTCCTACTATACTCTAGCAAAGCAGACATGGACCAAGAAGCAAGTGTGGTTGGTCACTCTCATCCCTTGACAGTGAATTTCAGAGTGCCCTCTGTAAATGGTTACTTGTTAGAAAATTGCACTCCATAAGATTACAGAGAAAGAAGGTCAATTTATCCCTCCTAAGCAGGGAAAGATTCTTAACCTGCAGCCCCAAGCAGATTACAGGGACAGCTAAATAGCTTAAGGGTTTGTTTGTTTTTTTCATAAGCCTTCCCATGGTCATTACCAAAATTAGAGTAGTTTTGAAGGCAGCCAATCCCTTTCAGAGACAGCAGAGTGTTTTGTGTCTGGATGGGTCTTTCCGTGTCCTCCTCTATGTCTCTATTACCAATCCCATCTTCCTTTGCAAGGCATATGGAAATTTAGATGCTTATTTGCTAAAACCTCACACATTTTTCACTTCTATGAGAATGAGGATGATGAACTGCAATTCATAAAGGCAGTGGAAAGAGCAACGATGTTGCTAGAATGTCACTACTCAAAGTGCAACTGCATCAGCAGCACCTGTGGACTTGTTAGAAATGCAGAGTATCAGACCTTTTTCTAGGCTTACTGCGTTAGAATATGCATTTTAACAAGGTACCAAGGTGATCTGTGTGCACATTAAAGTTTGAGAAGTGTTATTTTTAAACCCTTGTGTAGGCTTGGCTTTACCACAGTCTCTGCTATGTGAGAACTTTGTCACCCCTTTGAGTCTCAGTTCCCTCATACATAAAATGAATGATGTAGCATGCCAGGGTTCTCAATATTTTGGCATCCAACACTCTTGAGAGAGATAAACCACATTTATCAACAACAGAATTTGTAACCCAGTGATTCTCGATGTTGTAGGGAGGGTGCTTTGCCACAACTCTTGTTCCTCCGAGGGAGATCCAGCAGAGTGGAGAGTGAGGAGTGACAGGAATATGGAAAAAAACAAGTGTTTATTTTGAAAAACTCTCCCAAAGTGAATAATAAGGGCAGTTCTTGAAACAGAAAGGAAATGATGAAAGAAGGAATTTTTGAACATCTAGAAAGAAAAAAACAATGAAAAGAACAAAAGTATGGGATACAAGGGAAATATGAAAGACAGGGAACTCAAGAACCCTCAGCAAGGCCTTGTGGAGAACAACACAGTGTTCAAGCCACTGTGAAGTTCTAGAGATCTGGTCGTCTTGTATCTTCAGGGGATGCATCCATTGTTCCCTATTGAAAGTGGCTGCTTGTTCTGACACCACTTAGAGAATTTGAGTAGGCTGGCCAATCAGCAGTCAACGCACACTGCCTCTGTTGGACAGAGCTCTTCTATCAGGTCATTTCATTGGTCGTTAGCTAGCCTAGTGATGGCTGACTTTTGGTCAGTTGTCCATCTCTGATCTCATCAACCAGGTAATGGGGTCATATTGCTCTACACAAGGTGATCAATCACCAAGGAATTTCTCTAGTAGAATTTTGGTATGTTGGATATGCCAAGATTTCACAGACACAACAAATGTGGCCAGCAGGAAACTTGCTGGGCCAAAACCAAAAAAGAATAAATTGACAAATACAGTGACATAGATGAATATTAAACATATTTTACTAAGTTAAAGAATACAGAGTCAAGCTGGCTGAGTGGCGCGATGGTTAAGAACTGGCTTGGGACGCCAGAGGGCTCTGGTTCGGATCCCACATATGAGGGCCAGTGACACTGCCCTCTGCAGCTAAGATGCTGAACAACAGCTCAACCTGGAGCTGGGCTGCCGAGAGTCGCCAGCGACAGCGTAGGCTGCAGAAAAAAAAAAAAAAAGAATACAGAATCAAAAGTTTATACTACCTGATTTCATTTATGACATTCTGAAAAAGGCAGAACTATAGAGTTGGAGAACAGATCAGTGGTTGCCAGGGGTTGAGGGAAGGAGTCAACTATAAAGGGAAAATGCAAGGGATTTTTGAAGGATGATGGAACTATTTGGTATCTTGATTGTAGTGGTGGACATATTAATACAACTCTATGTATTCATCAAACTCATAGAACTGTACACTACAGAGAGTGTTTTACTGTATGTACTATATGCAAATTGTAAAACTAAATATCATAAAATGCTTTTTAAAAAAATCTATGTTCCATAGCTCTATAATTCTTGATTCCTTCTGAGAGATGGAAAAGTATTATTAATTATGCACAAGAAGAGTTAAAGGGCAGTACTTAGAAAGTGAGTAAAATTTTAGCTGTCCTATAAGCTGCTTACACAAATGCCAATCTCTAATCTTTCTTTAGTGTTTTGTAAAATACCAGTGAGTAGGAAGACACACATCAAAGCCACATTTGAAATCTCCTAGACTGAGTTTCCAACTCTGACTAATACACAGTGGACTCCAGAGAGAAACACACTAATGTGAAAGGAGAATGTATAATGACCCCGCTGTCCCTTATATCCTACCATGGATTCTCCAGAACACCATCGTTAATCTTAAAAAATAACTTATTAATTAAAAATACAAGATTCTCTTTCAGAATATAGAGAGGAAGGAACACTCCCAACTCATTTCATGAGGCCAGTTTTTACTGTCATGAATTTTTTTACACCAAAACCAGACAAAAACTGTAAAAAGGAAAAAAAAAAACAACAAATATTGCTCATGAATTTAGATGTAAAAATCCTTAACATTAGAAAATTAAATACAACACTGTATGAAAACAATAATACACCATGACCAAGTGAAATTTATTCCATATATGCAAGACATGTTCAATATTCAAAACTCAATCAACATAACATACTATATCAACAAGCTAAAGAAGGAAATTTTTATGATTTAATTGATGCAGAAAAAGCATTTGATAAAATCCAGCATCTATTCATGACAAAAAAAAAAACTCCCAAAACTAGAAATAGAGAAGAACTCATAAAGAGCATCAACAAAAAACTTACAGCTAACATCTTACTTAATTGTGAAAGACTGACTGTTTTCTGTCCAAAATCAGGAACAAGTCAAGGCTGTCTTCTCTCACCACTCTTATTCTAGATGGTTCTGGAAGTCTTACCCAATATAATCGGGCATAAAAAAAATTGAAAGCATATAATTGTAACTGAAATGAAAAAA